CCTATTGTCGACGCAATGCAGGAGTTGTGGCTCACGATGGTGTATTGTTTGTTGTGGGCGGAGATGATGGCACCTCGAATTTAGGCTCAGTTGAGGTACGCCGCTTTTGTGCCAGCATCTTCTATGAATTTATTGAACTAATTGACGATTTTTTTTTAGGTCTACTGCCCAGAAACTGACACGTGGCGCATACTACCTGCTTCCATGACTATCGGACGCAGTTACGCTGGTGTATGTATGATAGATAAGCCCATGTGAATGGAAGAGCAGGGTGCAATGGCACGGTATGCATACATTTAATAAAAAACATAATAATAAATTTATCAACGTTTTTCTATTTTTTAGCCAAGCTAATGCAGCAGCCGGTGGTATCATAGATGATGAAAATAGTCAAGCTGAGGGCAGCAATGTCGAGGGTGCAGTCGGTTACTCACGCAGTGACGCGCACATCAACTTAAACAACAATGGCAATAGCAATGCTTCCCAACAGCAACAACAACAACAGCAAAATCATCCACACTACGAAAACATCTATGAATCCCTTGAGCAATATAATACTGCAGCTGTTGCTGCTGCTGCTGCTGGTGCTGGCGTCAACGCTGTTGCCCCTGCCGATGCATTGCCCCAATCTCAAGCCGACGCCAATGTAAATCTACCTAACATTAATAATCTCAACAATAGCAACAACAACACGAACAGCAACAATCAATCACGCATTCTACCCAATATAAGCTATAGGAATGATCTCTACGATCGCACAAATACAACATCGCCAGCTTATGACGTGCCACGTGCCGTGCGCTCCGGTTTAGGATTTCGTCGCAATTTTCACATTGATCTACAAGGAGGTAAATCCCCAGAGCACTTTTTTTTTATAAATAATATCACTTCTCTCTAAAGCCAATCGCTTCAACGCTTCACGAGCCGGTGCATCCAACACAGCGCCCACTTCGGTTTATGGCAGTAACAATAACTGTCAACGCCAACGCAGTTTCGATGACACCGAATCTCAGAATTATTACAATTTCAATTACCAGCCGAGTTTGCGTTACGAAAATATTTACGAACAAATTCGTGATGAACCCATATATCGTAACACCGGCAGCGGCGCTAGAGTTTACGGGCGTTTAGATGTCATTGGTCATGGTATCGGTCGTATTGAGCGTCATTTAAGCTCGTCATGCGGCAATATTGATCACTACAACCTGGGTGGCCATTATGCAGTACTCGGCCACTCACATTTCGGCACCGTCGGTCACATACGTTTAAATACCAGTGCTAGCGTTACTAATGCACCAATTATTAATAGTGGTTGCAGCATGAATCCGGCAGTGACAAATACCACTGCGTCTACAGCAACCAATGTGACCACAACAAGCAGTAGTCAAAGAGATGCCAATAATGTTAAAAATAGCGCTTCATCCTTTTTCAGCTGTTTGCAGGGCGAAAATGCGCAGAGTATGAGCAATATATATCGCGCCTCTATCGGTATAGGTAGCAGCATGGCGACCACATATACTACCGCTGGTGGACAACAAATACCTACGCAATTCAATTGTCGTAAGTCTCCAGAACCAATAATTGTTTAATTTGATAAATACTGTATTCATTATTATAGCAGTGCTTCCGAATAATATCAAAGAACGAGAACCACGTTCTGCCTCCGCTGGCCCGTTATCAATAAGTATTAATAATGGCAATGCCAATGATGGACCCACCACTTCGTCAGGCACACGCCAAACCGGCGCTATACCAAAAATTAAAGCACTCGCTTTAAACTCAAATAAGCCCAGTACAAGTTCTTCAAATAATACTAACAACATTGCAACAGAAAAGACAGTCTCCATTAAAAATGCAATCACCAAGAAGGCAACAAATAATACTAACACCTCAACGCCTGCGACTTCAGCTAAAACAAGCACAACCAGTCCTGAGCACACAGCGAATTCGAGCACCTTGAATCGCATTTCCAAGTCCAGTTTACAATGGTTGCTGGTAAACAAATGGTTACCATTATGGATTGGACAGGGGCCAGAGTGCAAGGTGAGTCAGAGTATAGGAAAAAACTAAAACTCATATTAAAAATATTTTCTTGCAACTCTTACAGGTGATCGACTTCAATTTCATGTTTTCGCGTGATTGTAGTGGTTGTGATGCTGCCTCCGCCGCCACGCATATGTCCAATCCATATTATACGCCACGTTTGGGTGGCATGATGCCGCATGATTTAATGCGTTTTAGTGCAGCTAATGCTGAGATGCACGCACCATGTGCAGCCGCTTCGACAGCCTTGAGGCGCGATCTGAATATGCGACCGCGGGCCTTGAATCGCTTGCGTGAATACGAGCAGAATCGACGTGAAGTGGCCACAAATCGCTATGAGGATCCCTCGTATGAAAATGTGCATGTGCATTGGCAAAATGGTTTTGAATTTGGACGTTCACGTGAATATGATCATAATTATCAAAATGCAACAGGCACAACCCGCCCACAACTRCAGCGTGCACGCTCCGAAAGTCCAAATTTTAACACACAACAACGACGCATGCGCCAAAATTACAATGCAACACAAAGTGGCAATAACGTTGCACCCGCCGCTGGCTATAGTACAACAAAATACGTAGACATATTCAAGAATTATGTGCTTAATGCGGAAAACAACACGTTCAAACCGAAGCTAGTGAAATCTGAGAATAGCGACGTTTTAAATTGTTCGGCGAGTGGAAGTGGAAATGTAAGTGGCGTCGCCGAAGTTATAATAAATCCGTTACGAGATAAATCAGACGAAAATGAAACTGCACCAAATGTTGCCGAGCTCGAAGCTGAAATGGATGAAGCCGTCGCTAATATTAACAATGAAATGGCGGCTTGCAGTGCCAATGCAAATATAAGTGATAATGAAGGTGAACAGCCCACGAGTTCAAATCGAGTAGCAAATGTAACTGGAAGAGAAAATGTATTCATAAATGACAACGAGACTGATGCAACAAAGACAAAAGCCACTAACGACAGCAACAATATTAATGTAAAATCTACTAACAAGGAACAAAATGACGATTGAAAGCAACAAGAAGATATGCTATGTTGAACAAATTATGTGTTATCTGTTACATAAAGAGATAACTAAGAATAATGCTGGAGAAATAATAAGAAACCCAGTAGTTTTGAGTATTTAGTTTTCACTTGAGCAAAACAGCAGAAGTTATATACATACATATTTATATCACGATTAAATACTAAATATTCAATTTCGTAGTGAACAGTAGGCATTTGTATGAAATTAGCAAACAGTAAAAGAATATTCTAACTATATACGCACATATAGAACCAGCAATTTGCAGTTTCCTTAGGCAAAATACACAATTTTGCATTATACCATAGTATAAAAATGATACGAACTAAACAGGATTTATTTATGTGTATTTTCGACAAGTTTTTTTTCAGTTACATGTTTATACTCATGTTAACTCTTAATTATGTATAAGTAAAACATATATATAAGTTTTTTTTTCTATTTACTCATTATTGCATTATCCATTGCATGAGTTTTAGAGCATACTCATTGCTTTGTTGTTTATTACATATATATGTACATAGTATGTACTAATTTATTTGATAAAGACAATACATGTAAAAATACCTACATATTTAATAACAATTTTCCCTTTTCATTTTACCTGTAAAATTACAGGCACACAGTAAGTGCCACCACTGTGTATAGGTCGATTCGTTTACAGTTCGATAATAACGTGTCTGCACTATCAATTTTATTATGTTTTATGTGTTCTTCAAACTACATGGTTAAAGTTCGAACTAACAATTCGAACACTTTCTTGCACTGGAGTGTGTAAACACTTCATGTATGACTAACCACAGAGAAATTATTAAGTTGTTTACCTTTTTTATTTGTATTCATTAGTTCACAGATCAGTGGCAAAGTAAGTATTTCGTTCGTTATAAAATCTACCTAAAACAAGATTTGTATGTGTCTTGGGTAATTACGCTACGCGAGTTACATATGTAGTTTCAGCTTAAAAGACAGGCCTTCAGTTGCCCTCTCCTGCATTCCGCTACCTGTTTAATATATAGTTTTGTGTGTGAATTATCACAGATAATACTTTTTCACAAAGTCCTTACAAATTTCTAAAAAAAAAACGCTTGAGTACAGTACCAAAATTTATTATTCCGATATCGAAAATTGTGACGTTTTCTATCATTTGTGTTTCTTACTCACTCTGGATATTATACACCGCTCTTCAGAGTTTAGCAATTTTATTGAACACACTCTGTGATTGCGACCCTGTGCTCGATTCAACGATTCGTTGAAAAAGAAAGACATTTGTTCAGATAAAATCGTGTTTGCGGGTGAGTTGGACGTGAAAATTTGCAGCGCTGGGCGTTTATTTGATAATTTWCTTTGTTTTATCTCTGCTGCATTATACCTACTTGCATTTGAACAGACTGTACTTTTGTAAAGAAAAAAAGGAAAACAAAGTAAACAAAAGCAAATCTTTTATTGTTAGGTTATAAGTAGCTATTTTATGCGGAGAAGAATCGTGTTTATTTCTTTGTACTTTTTTATGAGGAGATATGTATGTATGKGGATGTGAATCCACGCTACAAATTTGTTAAATATCGAGTGTTACTTCAAAAGGCATATTAGTGCCGAGTACAGAGAAAATGTTCGCAATTTCGGTTAATACTGTCGTTGATGATGTTAAAATTTGAAAGCGTATATTGAAGAAAATAGTGGCATTTATGCATAAGTTAAATTAGTGATTAAATAGTTTGCTATAGAAGGAAATGTGTTTTCCATGCACATAGAATATGCTGGAAACGTGGCTAAACCCATTGTAATAGATTATATCCTGGACATGAACCATTCAACACATTTGCGAGTTGCCACTTGATGGATTGTATTCGGCAAGTATTCTAATAAAACGAATTATTTTCACGTTTCTGCCGAAGATGCGAAGTCGCACGTTTGGAAATATCAAGAACTGTCGGGGGGGGGGGCGAAATTATTTGTATAGCCATTTTTTGTTGCAAACTGGCAACGCCGAAAGATATTACTTAAATTTAGCTGTGATTTGAAATAAAGCAATCTATTACAGCCACATGTCGCCATGTTGGAAAATTTCTCTATACTATTTTCACAGTAGTCTTGCAAAATASTTTGGGATGAGTAACATTACATTTAACAAGATCGTCAACGAGGGATTGAATTATTAAAATTATTCATTAAAAATATTGTCTTTCATAACAATAATAGTTATGTTTGTTTATTATTGCAAATAAAAGCGTTTAGGTAATTTTTCAGTAAATTTTTAAGTAGGTTATGATGAAATAAAGAAATTTAAGGGTTAGGTTTTCTTTGTACTTTTTTCCGTCATACATACATATGTATCGTAAATCACGCACGTACTATATTGTACATTTTTATTAAAAGTTTGATTAATTTTGTTTTGTAGTTGAAAACACATGGAAAGTAATGAATGCGTACTGAAGTTATGTAATTAGAGTCAAACAATACAAAAAGTATCAAGAGTGGAAACAAGAGAACTAGTGTGACGTCAATCGTCTAATTATTGGCTATCGTTAAGATTATTTTGAAGTAATCTTGAAACAAATATGGTGAGTTGGTTAATTAATTTCAATGTAATACATTTAGTAAATAAAGAATTTCTAAACAAATAGATATCGTGTTTTCCTAAATTGTATGTTAATGTACTAATTTTGATTTTAATTAAAATTTCAGCCGCGCATAGTACCTTTGCAACTTCTTAAGTGCCTAAAGGTGCTTTTGGACGATAATGGAGGCATCCTTAGCATTGGAGAAGTCAAGCGGATCGCGGGGTGAGTTTAATTAATTATATTAATAAATCAATGTGCAAAACACAAAGTCATTACTTGTCATGCAACTGTGCGTAATGCGTTCGTGAAGAATGTAATTTTAATTTTAGGGTTGCATTTTAGTTCGAATTTGTTTTATGCAAAGTAAACTAATAGTGTGTATTTTTTTTTCAGATTGATGAATAGATATTCAAAAAAACTTGTTTCAAAATGCATTTATGTACAAATATTAAAAGTTACTAAAACAGAGCTTCTTGGTGAATTTATGGGTGTTGGTGGCTGGTCACTGGTATATAACTGGTTAAACGATGCAATACGTGCAATGAATTGGCCGCTTGTGCAAGAAATTCTAGAGCTGCTTTTACTTTGTCCAGTTGATGTGGATCGATTGAAAATAAATTCTGCACCAAAGTTGGTGAAGGGTCTTTGCCGGGATGGAGGCAATGAAGGTAAGTTTCTTTTGACAAAGTGATATAGTCACCACTTACGTTTATTTAAGTGTACAACTTGAAGAAAATTAGGGATTAGTGCCTCTTTAAAGATATATATACAATTTAATCTTAATTAGAAGTATATACATTTAAATACATTTGTGGCAAACCTGGCTGTATTAAGTTTAACCAATTCTAGTTGACATCAAAAAAGTTTAGAAAGTTATTCTTTGTTATTGATCTTTTTTGCTGTCAAAATTTATTTGTAGTGTATATTTGTTGTCTACATTTGACAGCATCGGTTTAATTTAAATTCATTGAAAAAAACAGTTATTAAACAATCGCCTAAATGACGATTATATTTTTATACATTTTTATTATTTTTTTTAGGAGTACGTATACTTGCAAAACGTTTGGTGGAACAATGGTTGAAAGTAGTGACAGAAAATACTACAACTGCTCAATTAGAAAGTTCTCCACAGCAATCGGTTATCGGTGGAGCAACTCCTAATGTTTCTACAATACCTGCCACCCAAACAACACCTGTTATACGGCAAGACAGCAAAATACCACAAACTTCTAATATACCATTAAAAGTAAAAGGGCCCTCAGTTGTACAGCGGTCGCTTTCAAATTCCGCTGAACAAGATCCACTTGCAGATGTCACAGATGTACCGCCTGAGCCTTCTACTTACGCACCAACACCTGCACAGAAGAAAGCTAGTGAAGCAGGATTGGTGTTCAAACTGGTTTATAAAGATGGTCAACAAGTTTTGACAAAAGTACCAAAAACCAACCAACTAGCTTCTTCTGTTGTTGATGTTGAGCAAATTGCTCAAGGAAATGGGAATGAGGGTGAATGTGAGAAAATGCAACATAATGGCGAAAATGAAGCCAACATGAAGGGCGATGCAGAAACTGATCGTGGCATGGGTGCTCAAGAAGAGGAGGAAGAGACCGATAGAACTGTGGACTCTACAATTATAGAAGAGGAAGAAGATACGCGAACATCAACTGATAAACAAGATAAAGATAGTGAAAGTAGCGCTGAGGAAGAATCTCAAATAACACCGGATAGTAACATGCTATCCATAGAACAAAGAAAAAAGTCTATAGATACAGAAAGTGAGAAATCTATAAATAGAGAACATAGGAGCTCTAAAGACTCCAGAGACAGTAAAAGTAGGGATAAAGAAAATAAGGGTGATAAAGATAGGAAATCATCGTCATCTTCTAGCCACAAATCATCTAGTCACAAATCAAAAAGTTCATCTTCGAGCAAGTCAAAATCTTCCTCATCGTCCTCTTCACACCGCAGTTCAAGTGATAAACATCGAAGCGATAAGGATCGTTCAAGTTCCAGTAAAGACAAAGATCGAAAAGAGGGTAGTAGCAGTAGCAGTAGCTCCAGTAAACATAGATCCTCATCATCATCGTCAAAATCTTCGTCGTCAACAAGTTCGAAAGACAAACATCGCGATAAAGATAAGGAAAAATCTGCTAGTACTTCTTCTTCGTCACATAAAAAGGAAAAAGAACGCGAAAAAGAAACACCAAATGAAAAGGATAAAGAATCCAGTTCCAAGTTATCCACTTCCGATAAACTTAGTCGTATTCCTAAAAAGCAAAAAGACGAATCGGAAGCGGATTTGACAAAGCCTACTTCAATAACCATTCCCTCAAAGAAGGCTTCAATGTCAATAGAAATTCGTCGTGACTCGGAAAAGGCTAAAACTGTGAAAACATACAAATCACAATTTCGCTCYCATGGCCTTACTGAGGAAGCTCCCCCACCACCATCGCGGAAAGGACTAAAGAAACCAGTTTCAAGCGTTTCTGCTCCTGGTACCGTAATTCCAACCAGTTTGCCATCTTCACTAAAACGGCCTTCACCACCACCAAGTAGCAGTGATTCACCAACACAAAAGAAATCTAAAATTGATATCAACAATCTGACAGTAGCTAACGAGAAGCCTGGAGCTATCAAACTTATTGCTCCAAAGAAAAGTAAGTATTTTGTGTTACGACATTTACTAATAGCATTCTGCGTTATTTCTTTGCAGGAGTTTGGATGATACTAGTTTTTGCTTGTGGTTTATATTGTATACTTTTTTAAGGTGGTATTTTGTGTTTTATAAAATATTTAGACTGTCGTCTCTTTAGTGTTGGCAACACCACGCTTCCTCATTGGACTGCGTGGAACGATGGAACTGAATTTATTGAATCATTGTTTTCTGTTACCAAAATTCCTACATAGACTAGAAGCAACATAGGCGTATTGTCAAACACCACTTGCGATGGTCTCGCCATGGTTCAGCGGAGTAATTTTAAGGTGTTTTAACGCGGATAATTTTTTTTTCTCATGATGTGATAAAAAGAACGATACGGAATTTAAGTATAAAAAATTGGATTGGCTCCTTAATAACCTAAAAATGCAGATGGTGCTTAAATCATCTAATGTTAATGTGATGTTTCGAAGTGATAAATAACAATTAATTTCTTGTCACGGGAGAGGATCAACAATACGTATACGTGATATAAGATCGATCTTCACTTCCTACTAGTAGATGGATGATATTTATAATTTTAAAATCAAATTTTGTTCGTTAATTAATATTTGTGTAACAAATTATCATTGATATCAGAGCTTTTTGCATTAATTGTTGCTGTAATTGATGAAACAGGCACACCGAGATAAATACCACTATAATTTGCGAAGAAATTGGTCGATAGCACAGTGTAAATGCATCAAAACCGTCATCGAGATTTGAGTTTCAAAATGTCACAAGCGAATTTAAAAATAGTTCAGCGACTTCATTGGTATAAACAATCAAACGTTGTGCCGACAAAACAATTTTTGAAAGGCATTATTTTTTTTTTGTTTTGTTGATTGTTTTAACAAAATCAAGCGACGCACAAACCGGAATGAGATTATCACTGTTGGTAGTATCGCCCACCTAGTCAAGTGGAAACAGGCTGTTAAGTATGAATTTTATCTTACATCCTAATTTTGATATTCACATTAACTGTTTATTCGTGTACATTGCAATGTTGTGATGCCACGAAAATGCTTATTATTTTTTAGTTGATAAGAAAACAAACATTAAAACATAAGACAACAAAGAGTTGGTGATTAATAAACAATTCTTTTCAACAAAATAAATTATTTGAGCTAATGGTCGCCGAAGTTTGGAAGCAGTCTTAATAATTGAAACGGAAAGAAATTTTACACAAAAATGGAAAAAATGGGTTTAGGGTTTTCTACCATTTTATACATTGAAGTTATTTACAATCGTGTAGAAAAAGATTCACTAAAGGCAAGATGACGCCAAAATTACCGAAATTTCTGCATACATTTTTAAGACCTATGAAGGCATATACTTGAAGCATTTTGATACAATTCGTTTAGAAAAGGCTCACTCTATGACATTTTCATGCACAATTTCAATCACGATTTCCAAAAAAATTCAACATACTTATGCTTTTTTTTCTTCATATATATATCAAAGCTGGAATATGTAATTATGATTTCCAGCCCTCCTTGTAGTTGAAATATATAACGCGTATTGTGCCACTGTTTTCATATACTCAATATAAATGCATTTATGAAAAGTCTACTTCTGTATAGCATTAGACCTATTAACCTATAAAAGAAATTTGCGTGACGCGTTCTTATTGGCTGCACAAAACCGATTTAACCTACCTGGATGATATGACACTAGCATTCCTATTTCAATTAATACCACATATAAGATCTACAAGGTTTTGATAGTTAAATTTCTAAAATACCCATTTTCTTACCACTTTTACTTCACTGGTGAAATAATTACTATATCAAAAGTAATATTAATTATTTATATAATAACCTCAAAACACAACAAAAATAATATTCTTCAATGACTAAGCACCTCACTCCGATCGGTCGGCACTGTAGGAATATGTAAATCAAGAGCTTTTCCGGCATTACCCTAGATAAATATCTGCCAGCGAACATTTCATCTCACAAACCTTGTTACTGTCTGTTCAGAAATAATAGTTTATTCACTTTAAGCTATTATAACCCTGTTCCCATGAAAGTTGGGGTATATACAACCGGAACCACTCGTAATGTATATGTGGCCAAAGTCTGAAACTTCAGCAGCATTAGACGTAACTATGTCAGCAATATGTTGACGCTATCACAAAAAAGTTAGCCTTAGAAAGAAACGACGATGTTTGCTAACGAGTCAGAAGATTTTGAAAAAGTTGCAAAGAAGGAAACTCAAGTTTATATGACAGACCACACTCAATATGCCATATACCTACATTATTTTGGAATTGCATCGTAGATGTAGCTATTAGTTTTTTCCTGAACTATACGGCTGAAAAAAAAAATTAAAACAGTTTACAAATATGGACGAACGTTTTCTCTTCAAGAAAACCAAATTAATATCTTGTCTGCCTCCAAGCTTCGACTGCCCAGAGCGTGTTTTAATTTATTGTATATATAAGTGTTTAAGCATATATTCAGAGCTTACTTAACTCAGTCGGATATGTGTCACTGCCGCCACGAAGATGCCTCTTGTTTCATCCGGAGATTTATTGAAAGTGATCTAACAAAATTCACCCCTCCCCTTTGTGATCCACATTTATAATCTATTTGATACGGATAACTTTCCTTTTTTAGGTATATGAAAATCACTTACGAACAAAAATAACACCTAGTTACTATATTTCGAGATATTTTTTTAAAATAATTTTTGATCTTGAACCCTTTAATGCTCTGACCTTTCACCACCTTAAAGCTATGATCGCAAAGAAACATTTGAAACTTCAGATAACAGTCTAACTTTCAATGGTTGTTTTTAAGCATTATTTCCCTTTTAGGCTTTACCACTCATTCAACGTTTCGCCTTGGTAATGAATCCACTGATCATTTCTCTTAATTAATCTCTAGTTTTTTATTCGAAATAGTTTTAGATTACCTTTCGATTAGCTGCTAGTTTTAAAAGTCTGTCTTTGAACTTATATCTACTAGAAAGCTTCCCGACAGTAACTTTTTGAAAAATCTGAATCGCACCTATGTACATTAGTTCATACTGACTCTCCGGAGTATTGCAATTCCAAAAAACAAAAACGTGACAAAAAAGAATTCATCATAAAAATTTAATAATGTATTCCCATTTCTAACCTTTCAAGCTCTCTGTACTGAGATCACAATCTGTGTGCACCACAATAGAGTTTGGTTGATCTTAAGGATCACCGCGTGCCAAATTTTAATTTAGTTATGTATTAAATTATAAACTTATTTTTTAATTAAGTTTATATATTTTAAACAATTTATTAATTAATTTGATAATAGTGAATATTTCTCACCTTACGCGCAATGAAAAACAAAGTGTAGCTGTATACAATGGACCAAAAGCAAAAACTAACATCTGAACTCCTACCCCCATACAATTTGCCGTCGAAATGATCTTAAATCTATCTTTACACCATATTAATCATTGTTTCTTTAATTTCAGTTCAAACTCTTGTCGAGACAAATCTCTTCTCGGACGCGCTCTCAGCATCAATGGTGCCCAAAAAAGTTACTAAACGTAAGCGTCCCACTACTCCTGGTGCCGGTCAAAATAAGGAAGGTCCTTCACCACCTACCAGTCCAGATGCACCAAAGGTGGCGCCTTTAAAATTCTACCAGGACACCTTGGACGAGACTAAGAGCGAAGACAAATCCGATAAGGAGAATGATAGCAGAGACAATAACAATAAAGCGGAAGATTTGGATTCAGGCGATAAGGGAAATAGCACAGAAGATGATGATGATATACCCTTGAAGAAGGTTAAGGAAGATATAGAACAGAAGGTACTGCGAGAGCAAAAGACTAGTGATGACGGTAGTGATGCCACAGCGACTAATGCCGGCGGCTCTGTCGATATCACTGGTAGTGATGGGGAAGAAGATGTCGCCAAAAAGAGTTCAGAGGAAGATGCGCCCAAACCGCCTGGTCCTGGTTGTGGTCCGAATGGACCACCCGGTGTGCTTATGCTGCACCGCCGCAAAGGTCCAAAGAAGAAGTTAACTTGGCGACCTCAAGAACAACTCGAGCAGATACGTTACTTTGAACTGGACGAAACAGAGCGCGTAAATGTGACAAAAGCACAGTCCTTTATGGACATGAAAAATCTGGAACGCTTTAGTGAACGCGATGCGATTAATATCGCCAGACGTGGTTTCACACATGAGGACAATATGCGACCATTAACCGAGTGGCGGCCGCTGATCGAAGTTGATGGTGTACCACCACATCCGAATGGTAATCAATCTAAACAGCGTAAGGTGCAAGCCGAACGCGAGATGACTACCCTGCGCGCACTATACTTCTCCCACAGCATGATCCCCGACTCACCGGCAGAAGCTGAATTAGAACCGCATTTCGCAGTCGACATACCTGTCATACCGTTAGAAGATATTACCGGCAATCCAGATGCTGTAAGCGACTACACCAATATGCCTTGGCCTGAGCCAAAGACTTCACCTAAGTCAACAGAAAGTAACCTTCCTATTGTTGGAAACTTACCAACCGCCCAGGTAAACACATTACCGCCAAGTAACCTGAATACATATCCAGGTTTTATGCCACAGTATGCTGGTGTGGCAGCAAACAATCTACTGGCAACGCAAATGCAAATGCCAAGGCCAGTTCCCACACCGGCGGCGGGCCCAGGTCCACATCCAGCTTGGCAAACGGGCAATTTCAACGGTAATTTGGCAGCAATGGGTCCCATGGCTGGTGGACCCCCAGTACAACAACAGAATATGATGAGCCCATTCGGTCCTGGAGCCGGCAACCCGCAATGGCAAATGCATGGCGGTAATCAGTATGGCCCAGCACAAAGTCCCTTCAATAATGCACCCAATTTCGGACCAATGGGTTTGATGCCGCCGCGTGTTATGCCAAATATGGCACCAGCGAATCTATTTGAACGGAATAACATGAATAATAATCATCACAGTAATAACAACCAAAATCGCAACAACGGTGGCAATTGGCGCACCGGTTCAAACTTCCAAGATAATAACGGAGGCGGCAATTGGCGTTCAGGTGGTGGCGGTGGAGGTCAGAACCGCGGTGGGGGTGGCGGCAATTCCAATAACGGTGTGTGTAAGGCTTTCATGCGTGGTCACTGTCGTTTAGGCAAATCGTGCAAATTTATACACCCTAATAAGAGCAAACGCATATAGGATTCGCCAGAATCTTCTGATGAAGATTCAACAACGATCTCGAAAAACAACTGTGATAGTGGCGACAAGACGATGCACTGAAAAACTGTCTAAGCGATCCAAATGATCTATTTGCTGCGCGCCTGGAGCCACACCTAAAGTTCTTAAGTGTGCACCGTACGTCGTTGGCCATCCGAAATGACCTCCTGAAACTGCGTTGCTTTAATCAATGTCAAGTAATTCAGCCTGCCAACGTCGTAAACCACAAAGAGAACATACATATGATTTCTATGAAATAATTAAGTTTTTTGTACAAAGCGTTAGTTTATAATTTTGCATTAAAAACTTTGTTGTTAGTAAATGAAAGATGAATCGTGAAAAAAACAAGTTGTAGATTTTCTACTAGCATTTTATAGAATTATGCATCCTATAATAGGTCTATGAATACATTTATGAATATACAAAAATATTAAGATGTTACAAAGGCATTTGCACTAAACATAATCGTTAATTACATATATAATGTAGATTATTATTTATACACTTATCTGCGCAGAGCAATACATTTAAACATTGTATTTATTAATTTGTAATTAATATTCAGCTTCTTACGCAGAGCGTCAAGGACGTATTCAACGAAGTTAATATATATGTACATATATCACATCATCTATATTTTATTAATTTAAATGTACAATATTATGGGATTAGATAACCAAATGTAGAATTTATTGATGTTAGCGAGGCATATAAGATACATAACTTTACACATGCATCACGGTAACTAACTAAAGGTAGCTTATTTAATCTTAGGACACACATACATACATATGTATGTATATATACATATATAACAAATTCATTATAACACTGTAACATACAAACTCAAATGAAAGGCATTTCAATACTTGCATAAATAAGAACATTTGTAAAACATGCAATAAAAATTAAATAAAAGAATTATTTAACAAAATCTAATTATYATTATTATTAAAGCAGATATAAAGATTTTGGTTGGAATTGAAGTCTTGAAATTATCAAATTTTTGCACCAAGAAGAAAGAAAAGTTTCAAAATTTCAAGCAGAATTGCAAATAATATAGAAATTACACAATTTAATCGATATACGTGTATGTTCATATGTACATACATATATACTTGTGCTTGGTTTWCCATATTTATTTTTAATAGTACAAATTGTCACTCTTGCTTTTATTTTATCGCTTTTATTCGTGAAAAGTTGCGTCCAAAAATTCATACCAACTTTCTTGTCAACTTTGTAAAAATCGAGTTTTTTCAGTCCTAAACTAGAATATCCCGTTAATAAGATATAAAATAAAATTGCACATTTTTCGGCAATGACAAACTTCAGCGTGCTATTTCGACACAAAAATGTATTGCAAAATTGTAAGGCATTATGATGATCGATTTTGCATTAAATAATATTATTTCCATTTTATTAGCTAGTTATACATATAATATTGAACAAATTTACATAATTATTTAATTTGTATAACTACGACTTAATATTAATCGTACTMTTTAATAATTTCGCTCAACAACCCTTTTCGCTCGAATACGAATGCAAACCTACTTCCTTTGCTAACAGTTCTTTTTAGTTCCCGTTCCGTTATTCGTTGCGAAAAAGTCAGCTACAAGCGTTCAGTCGGTGAAAAAATTTGAATTCATGTGTAGCTCTGCTATAAATTAAATATTTGTGTGAAAAACTAATAAAACAAGTGCTTATTGTTTATCGCCTGGTGCAAGAATTTTATACATAGCAGTGTTTTTATTGTTTTTATCTGCAAGTGAAAATAGTGTGTGTCGGTAGCGAACAAGCTCAAGCGACAGGCGCATTAGTTGAAAATCTTTGCATGTAAATATGTGTGTGTATACTAGCTTTGCGAAAGTAAAATAGCGAATAAGCAAAGTAACGAGTAAGAAATCTAAACGATGTAGCCAATAAGTAAACGAGTGATAACRAAGTGTTTACATGAAATCTAGCATTGCATTTAACTGTGTGAAATTTGTTTTACATGCACTTGGAAATTTACAATTATACTTACACATGAGTGTATATGAGCGTATTATGTGAGTAGTAACAAGTTATACAGAAACTGTTTTGTTATATATATACATATATGTATGTATGTATATGCATTTAAAACTTCTTTTAAGATTAATTTTTTATATGTTTAACTGCTGTCTCTTATACACATCTAGATGTGTATAAGAGACAGCGTATTATGTGAGTAGTAACAAGTTATACAGAAACTGTTTTGTTATATATATACATATATGTATGTATGTATATGCATTTAAAACTTCTTTTAAGATTAATTTTTTATATGTTTAACTGAGTTTGTACTTTAATAAGCATTTTACGATTTTCTGCTTAAATTATATAAAACTCAAAACCCAAATATATTATAATAATACTTTATGAATACAGATAATGTTCGAAGGACTGATCAAAATTTTTGTTTTTTTGACAAAATGACTTTGCAAAAAGGTATTTTTTTTTTGTGAAAAATAAATTTGAAATCAAAAATTATTATCAAAATTTCGATAATTATCTGACAAATATGCACATAGGTATATCTAAGAACGTTGTGCAAAAAAATCTCATGTCGGTCTACCCGTGTTGGAGAAGTTTTTCTCAACGACTCTGAAAACAGAGATTTAAAAAAAAACCATATAAAGTTTCTGAACCGAATACTAAGTTAAAAAATTCCTATAAATACCATACTCTCATATCCTCGAAGCTATCTGAATGCCGGATCTACATAAAACTCAAACTAAAACATTTCTATGCTAAATTAATCCAAAAAAGGAAAATTAAAAATAGASAAAAGAAAGAATTGAAAATCAATTTCGTCATCTATTAGACAATGGTGGAAAATCAAAATATTTAGAAATAGTTATGTTTTTCAGTAAATATGTAAAAAGATATGTATAAGAATCGCTAATAGAAATATGTGCATATATTTAGGTGCCTTCCATTGTACCACGTATCGATATGTGGGTGGTGAAAATGCATGCTTTTGAACTTAACTTTCAATAGTTATAAGGTTTCTTGTAAAATTTTCAGTTATTTTCGCGCGTCCTCAATCGACAGTCCACATTTAACGCGGTTAGTTCGACGATTGTGTTCATAGGAAACGTATAAAATTTTATAGTAATTAAGATATACTAAGAATACCGCTATGGCACTCTATAAAGTTTTAATCGTACTTACTTCTATACTAGCCATAGCTGATGGTCTGAGCTTTACAGTGACTTCTAAGGTTTATTTAGATGTGAAGCATCAAAAGAAACCACTGGGACGCATAGAGTTAGGACTGTTTGGCAAAATCGCACCTAAGGCAGTCGCTAATTTTCGACACATATGCTTGCGTGGCATCAATGGCACTACATATGCGGGTTCTAGATTTCATCGCGTAATTAATCGTTTTCTCATACAAGGTGGTGATATTTTAAATGGTGAGTCTTTGGTAGTTCGGAGAATAATTTCTACTGGATGGGCGATTGTGTCTAGTGAGTGAAAAAATTTGAGGCTATATCATATAGCACTGTAATATATCAATCTTAATCAAACTTTCGGCAATATGTCAAATTTACTAAAGTAGACATACATAMGTCCAATTACAGACCGCTTATGTCATAAAATTGCAATAAATATGATAAAATGTTTTACTAGAAAATAAAACAAAATAACATCATAGTCTTAAGACGATTAGATATTTTTCCGCATTTTGTCATAGGAATATTAGTTTTGTGTCAGTTTTTTTAGATTTTCGAACAATGGTAGTAWTTACCTAGCAAATTTTTATTCAATATTTTCTTCCAAAATCATATCATCTTACTTTCCACAGGTTAGGTCACTCGTATTATTATTATATACATAGTTTATCGATTTTTACCACCATATTTGAAACCACAGTAGAAAGTCCATCGCCACGTAATTATCATTTCTTAGCTGTGTAGCTACTTATTTATGTCTTCGGAAGATTCTGAGTGCCAAGTAATTTCCAGTGTGTACTTGTGGTGGTTTTCTATTTATCAAATTGTTGCACATTTGTGATGTCATTGAGTAATGYGGTATTTTTGTACACCATACCCACTTATGGTAATTACAGGCGATGGCACAGGTTCTACCAGCATTTATGGTGACTATTTTGAAGATGAGGCATTGACCGTTGAACACAATCGTCCGGGATATTTAGGCATGGCAAATCGTGGACCCGACACGAATGGTTGCCAATTCTATATAACTACTATATCGGCTTCGTGGCTTGATGGTAAGCATACAGTGTTTGGTAAAGTTCTCGATGGTATGGATACGGTGCATGCAATTGAAGATGTGAGTTTAATTTAAGTAAAAAAATAATTTTAAATTTGTAAAATGCCATTTTTTTTAGGTTAAAACAGATACTGATGATTTTCCAATGGATCCAGTTATTATTACGAACTGTGGCGAAATTCCCACGCAACCATTTGAGTTTTATCCCGATGATTTCAAGTGAGTAAGCTTACAATAGATTTATGGAAAAATATAAATATATGTATATTGAAGA